ATACTTTTAGAACTCGGCCAATAACTTTAATAATAACACAATACGTTCCTAATTTTTCAATCGTGAAGCATTGTGAAGTTATAAATTAATTTACTATACAGAAAACATGTAGCCCAAAATGTATTTAATTTGAAATTGTGATATAAATAAAATACCTTAGTTTAATCCTCGATTGCTGGCTTAAATTTTGAAAAGTCACATCAAATGTATTTTACATATTAATTTAAACATACTCCCATAATTAATTATATGATGGGCTGGACGGCATAAAAAATGAATTAATTTAATGTCGTACTAAAATTGAATGGACAGACTAAATCATTTTTAAGTGTCAGTTAACTCACTATATTGATTCCTTAAAATTTTAGTGATTGTTTATGTGACCCTACTAATGTCCTGCTAATGATGTATTATATAAACATATAATACATATAACAATTTATACGAAAAATTATTTACTTAGCATAAGTCAATTAGTATAATCAGTATATTATATTATTAATATTGTTTGTCTATTTGGTGAGGAAGTTTTTTTTTATGTAAAGGCTTAAATAAAGGCCTTAATTTCTTGGACATCAGCCTGTGTTTACAATATTTACATAACAGTAGCATACAGGGAGGAAATAACTGATTTTAAAATGTTTGTTATTATTTTTACAAATATAGAATTAACGCTTATATATCTATATATCTATCTTGTACCTATTTATATTCTGGCTTATTCAGGTAAAGTATATTGCATGCTATATGATAACGAGGTGTGTTTTTGGAAAATGTACATCATATTATATTTGTTACAGTAAATGTAGTGTAGTAAGGAGAAAATAAACGGGGAACAAATTAGTTGTAAGGGGAAGAATAGGCGGTAGGGGAAGGTAATGGTTATAGGGGAGAGATATGTGTGTTATAATAAATATTGGAGATTTCCGCATATGATCTCCCTACTACTGTGTTGTACCTAACTGCCTAATGATATTTGAATTAAATACTTTTGTTATATAAATATTCAAACACTTACCTCACTGGAGCTGGTTTTCTTCTAAGTGTTTGTAGTCCTTCGGGGTCGTGTTCAATAGTCGGTATCACGATGACAATACATGTATATTCTTTTATGTGATATTCGTAACAGGAGTACGTATAGTCTCTCCACCAGCCGAATGTAATTTAATGTGATGAATATTTGTTATTACACATTTATATCTTGAACACAGCTCTTAGAATTCCTACACTCGTGGCAGCTAGTACGTATAGTCCAACCGCTGACCGAATGTAATTTAAGTTAAGAGAGCACTTATTACTATACTTGTGTTCTAAAATATAAATGTGTAGTAACGATGTGACAGACCTATAATATGATGACTGTCACAGAACCTTATGTTTTGAAAGACCATTGAATAGGTTAGTGTAAAAAGATGAACAATTTTAATTTAACTGATAAGGAGACAACCAATTTAGACAGATATGCCGGGTGAAAGAATGATTCAATATACATATATTATTGGATCTTGAGCTATAAGATTTATTCAAAATGTACACTTATTTTTATATATATAGATAAAACTTTTATATAATATTATAATACGGCCTTCCCATTTCTTACTTTCATAGCTAAAAATTGTTCTGGTTTCGATTTGTGATTGACTAACATAACACGTCCAAAAGCACCCAAGCCAATAGTCTTGTGAAATATAAAATCACCAATCTCAGACTC